AAAATGTTTTACTCTCTTGTTGATCTTGGTGTTTGAACTGTTTTTTTTGTCTATTTGTTTTCCCTTATTTTTCTCTAAATCTCTCTCTCTCTCTCTCTCTCTCTCTCTCTCTTTAGAGCTCCTCTGATGAATCATAGTACCTTGAAAACCCCCCCAAAAATATAGTGGCGTCATTTTTTGATATTCCATAAAATCCAAAAAATGCGGATGTTGAGCTGAAAATTGCAGATTTTTAAGTCTGAAAGTCTAGAAAATGTTCCTTTGAAAACCTCAAAATTTTGGATTTTTAAGCAATTTTTCAAAAATTTTTGTGAAAATTCAATTTTTCATTTTCAGATTCTCTTCTGGAACCACCCAATTACTCCTCTACACACATCTGCTGGATTTTTCCTTTTTCTCAAATTTTTGATAATTTTAAAAATTGAAATTTCGGGCTCTGGAAAATGGCTGAAAATCATCTGAAAGTTGACTGAAAGTTCCAGATTTTTCGAGCTAAACTTGAATTTTTCGAATTTTTGGACCATTTTCAGCTATTTTCAGCCCAAAATTTCATCTCTGTTAACTCCATTTTTTTTATTGTTATTTCCCTTTTTTCATCCCCATATTCACCTATTTTCCCTTTTTTTTTAAACTGAAAATGACTCATTTTTGACTGAAAATGACTTATTTTTGGCTGAAAATGACCTATTTTTAGTTGAAAATGACCTATTTTTGGCTGAAAATGACCTACTTTTGGCTGAAAATGACCTATTTTTGGCTGAAAATGACCTATTTTTAGCTGGAAATTGGCTATTTTTAGCTGAAAATTCCAGATTTTTCAGCGATTTTTCGGGTCTTTTCAGCTATTTTTGACCCAAAATTTCATTATTTTGTTGACCTTTTTACTGTTATTTCCCTATTTTTTCATCCCAATTTTCCCCTCAAAATTTTGAAAAAATTCTGAATTTTTGGGATTTTTCTGGAATCTTTTCCATCCCATTTTTTTTGATTTTTGATGATTTTTTGGCGATTTTTTGCTGTTTTTTTTTGGACGAAAAATCTTGTTATTCTTTCTTTTTTCCAATCGATTTTCATTGATTTTTTATAACCGTAACCTTATGTGAATCAACCCAAAAAAATCGATTTTTGATCGGTTTTTTTTTTGGGACGATCCACATATAAGTTTTGCGATGATGACTGGTTGGCGCCAGATTTGAATATCTTTGAACACTATTTCTCTGTTTTTGTCTTTTTTTCTCTGCGTCTCTCACTCTCTCTCTCTCTCACTTTATCGCACTCAAAAAATGACGATTTTTCAATGGATTTTTGGATATTTTTTCGGCTTTTGTAGTGGGTTTTTTTTGGATTTTTCGGCTGTAATTCTTCGAAAATTTTAGCCATTTTTAAAACCAATTTTGGGTTTGAAATGCTCGAAATTTGGTTTTTTTTTCTGGACACAGTAATCCCTCGAACGTTCTAAATGTGTCAAATTTTTGGCTGCAGTAATCCCCCCTTTTCCCGATTTTTCTTTCTATAGTAATCCTTTAATTTGGCCTACAATAACCTTAGTTTTCGGTTACAGTAATCCTTGAATTTTGATTTTTCAAAGTAAAATTTTTTTTTTTTGCCCCTACAGTAATCCTCAATTTTCTACAGTAACCCTCCCCCCGTTATCAGTTTTTTCTCCTACAGTATTCCTCAACCTTTTACAGTAATTCACCTTTTTTGGTTTTTTTTTTCAGTTTAGACTACAGTAATCCTAGAGTCTTTTTGCCACAATTGTCGCCTACAGTAATCCCCATTTTTTTTCGATTTTTGTGACTACAGTAATCCTTGAAATTTTTCAATTTTGCCTACAGTAATCCAAGATTATTGTTTTCCAAAATTTCAATTGTTTCGCCTACGGTACTCCTCGAAAATTCGACTTCCAGGCAATAAACGGATCAAGGCGGGAACGGATAAAAAGAAGAAGAAAGAACACCAACCACCAGTAGTTCAGAACCAACCATCAGAAGACGTCAAAATGGAGCCGAATACGATGCTAGCACATAGTAAGAGTTACAAATTTCAGCCAAAAACGGCTGAAATATTGAAAATTCGAAGAAAATCGACGGAAAATGACCTATTTTTGGCTGAAAATGACCTACTTTTGGCTGAAAATGACCTATTTTTGGCTGAAAATGAACTATTTTTGGCTGAAAATGACCTATTTTTGACAGAAAATGACCCAATTTCCAGTCACCGCCGCTCGCGGGCTCTACATGAAGAACAAGACGAGCCTGGAGGCATTTGCTACAGTAACCCTTCAAGGAAAAGGATCGCTGAGAAGTCGATGCGCAACGGAAGCCATGCACACGGAGGGTGACTGTCGGTGGGATGAAGTTTGTGAATTGTGAGTGGATGGAAATGGGCTGAAAATCATGAAAAATGACCTAAAAATCGAGAAAAATGACCGAAAATTGGTCTAAAACAGGCCTGAAATGGCCTAAAACGGTCCTAAATTGACCTAAAACGAGCCTGAACTGGCCTGAAGTGGGCCTAAAATTGGTCTAAAATGACTAAAATAGTCTGTAAAAGCCTAAAATCGGACTAGAATGGCCCAAAATCGGTCCTAAATTGACCTGAAACGGTCCTAAATCGGCCTATAATGGTACTAAATTGGCCTAAAATGATCTTGAATCGGCCTAAGACGGTCTTAAATTAGCCTAAAATGGTCCTAAATTGGCCTAAAGCAGGCCTAAATTGATTGCTCAGCCTTAATTACCGTACTCTTCCAGCAAACTCTCCGACAAATTCAACGCCGTCGTCGTCTCGGTGCACTCGAAATCGAAACTGGGCTCCGGCGAGCTCATCGGACGGTGTGAACTGGAGCTGGAGAATGCAAAGCTGCTCCACGGACAAACGAATTGGCTGCGGTTGAAAAAGAAGAATTCAGATGAGAAGTATCGGGGAGAAGTGCAAATTCGACTCGAATTCAACTATGAGAAACCGTCGATGAGCATCAGTTCGTTGTCGTTAAATCAGTTGGGACAGGAGGCTGGTGGCAAAGGTACGGGCAGCGATTTGGAGCATTTTGAGCTCACAAAACTGAAAATTTGAGCTAGAAAGTCGAGAAATGTGACTTAAAATGTGGAAAAATCGCGAAATTTCGAATCATTTTGACCCAGAAATCATAAGAATTCATCCATTTTGGTCAAATATGAGTTTTCTAGGTCATTTTGAAGCGGTGGCCTAACTTTTGCCAGCTGGAGTTTTCTAGGCCACTATGGTAAAATGACCTAAAAACACACCGGAAGAATAT